TTTTTTTTTTTTTTTTTTTCCTTTTTTCTTTTTTTTGTGAATATACAATTGTCTTTTCTTATTCCTTCTGCACTTTTTTTTGTTTTACTTGTCTTGTTTTCCTGTTTTCTTTCTTCCTTCATACCTCTTTATCTTCTTCTCGTTGTAACTTTTCTTAACTTCAACCCTAACTCCGTCCCCTCAGCAAAACAACCAAAACCCCCCATTGAACATCCACCATGACTACAAAAGGCTACTTCGCAGGTATCCGCCGAAGTTCCACAGAACCGATCTCGAAACCGCCCCGTCGAATATCCGTCGCCTCGGCTGCAATACCAGAAGCATCTTCTCAACGACGCAATAGCCACAACGTCCATTTCCGCGAAAAGGACACCACAACCCCACAGTCAGAGCCCTTCACTTTCGTATCCAATACCTAGGATATGCTAACAACATACCCAGAGATGACACAGTGGTGATAGCAGTAATGGGCGTCACGGGGTCCGGGAAGAGTTCCTTGATATCGCTTCTTGCGGATCAGCCTGTGGGTATTGGCCATAATTTGCAATCACGTGAGTTATTCTATATTTCTTTCATTAAGAAGATGTTGATGATAAGATATGATACAAGACATGGGTACTAAGTAAGAGTAATTATAGATACAACACACACGGACATGTTTAGCTTCTCGCACCCCGAAACCAATAACACTGTTATCCTCCTCGACACCCCCGGATTCGACGATACGGATCGCTCTGATACCGAAATCCTGAAAGAAATATCCTGCTTCCTAGCCATGATCCACGAGAAGCGATGGCGTCTGGTCGGCATCGTCTATCTGCACCGGATCACGGACCCGCGACTCGGCGGCTCCGCGATGAAGAACCTGCACATGTTCGAGAAGCTGTGTGGCAGCCGCAGCTTTCCTGGGGTCGTGCTGGTGACCAATATGTGGGGGGACCTGGAGCCGACGGAAGCGGGGCGGGCGATTGGGGAGCGGAGGCAGAATGAGTTGAGGAGTCAGTTTTGGAAGACGATTGTCGAGGCGGGGGGCAATGTTATGCAGCATGATGGGTCGAAGGAGAGTGCGTCGGCGATTGTGTCGTCGTTGGTGACGAGGAATGAGGAGGTGGTTTTGCATATTGTGCATGAGTTGGTGGAGGAGAAGAAGACTTTGGATGAGACTGATGCCGGGCAGTATGTCCAGGCCGAGCTGTTGAAGATCAAGAAGAAGTATGATCGGGAGATCGCTGATCTTCAGGAGAGTATGGAGGAGGCCATGGAAGCGAGGGATGAGGAAACTGCTCGGGCAATCAAGAGGGAGAGGGAGGCGGCCAAGGCTAAAGTGGCGCAGAAGGCTCGTGAGTCTAAGGGCCTCAGGATCTCGATGCAGCAACTCGTGCAGGAGAAGATGGCCGAATATGATGCTCGTGCTACTGAGCCGGATAACCAGGAGGCTGTTAGGGGCCGTATCGCGGAGCTGTTTGAAGAGTTCAAGTCCGAGATAAGGGAGGAGATGCGCGAGGAGTTGGAGTCGGAGATGCGGGACGTCAAGGAAAGACTTGCTAAGATCGAAACCGGTCCGACCGAGAAAGCCGAGCAGCGAGTTGAACAGCGAGAGGAAGAACAGCCAAAGGAAGATAACAAGTCTGGCGGACTGATGGGATGGTTCTCTAGGCCTCTAACTGGGTTTAGCCGAGCTTGAATGAGTGTCATGTTGGGGAACGCATAGTGATCTACGCTGGAGGTTGGAATACTATGTTCGATGTCTATTAAGGTACAATAATCTTGGAGTTATGCATTTACACGGCGATATGAGCAAAACGAACAATAATGCACATTAACACATGCAATTATAACGATATGCACAGGCTTCTATCTTCCGATAACCGTTTCCCTTCACTACCGATCCCCACAATCTGTAGATCAGCTTTAATGTTGCATCAACTCCAGTCCACACCCACAAGGCACGAGTAAGGGCATGGCAGTCACGGGCCAATCACGTGTGGCATATTGGACTGCAGATTGAAGCAGAATCATATGAACGACTTACTAGACAACCGTCCTCATCTCTCCAGATGATGTGGGGCTCGCAAGCCCTTCTCGAAGCGGAAATGATAATCCGCTAGCGCCTGCGGGGAAGGAGACTTGACTGGTGGGGAAATCCTGGGGATTCCTGGGCTAGTTTATGAATATCAGCATGTGCAATGGTATAGCCTGCTCAGCCTGAAGAGTCCTCGACTACTATAAGAAGAACAGGGGATCCTGGCCTAACGCACATGGCTCCCAAAATGGTTGCTTCCGGAGCAGATTCGACACCATGATTGAGGAATTACTCCACCAGATGACGCCTGGGAAGGCATCTGTTCTCTTCCTAGGCGTCTTCTTTGTACTCTGTATAGTACGAAAAGTACAGGTATCCATGCATATCAAACGGTTGGGGAGTCGTGCCCCTCAAGTACGGTTTCGCCTTCCATACGGTCCGTAACTTCCAAGACCTCCCTAAGCGCAACTTCACTAATAGGACCATATAGCCATCGACTTTATTTACAAATCCCTTGCCGCCAACAGAGCCCACCAGGACCTGGAGTTTTTCAGCAACGCAGTCAAGGAAGCTAAGGGAGCCTCTCAGATAGACAATCCCAGAACCGCCGAAGTCAGCGCCGGCATCTCATCTCGATTTATCTTCACCCGAGACCCCGAAAACATCAAGGCCATCCTCGCAGGACAGTTCACGGATTATGGAAAGGGCGAGCCCTTCCACAACGACTGGAAAGAGTTCCTAGGAGACAGCATCTTCGTCACAGATGGTGAGCTGTGGTCTCGCTCGAGACATCTGATTCGACCGATGTTTGTGCGCGAGCGCATTGTGGACACCGAGGTCTTTGAAAAGCACGTTCAGCACCTCATTCCCTTCCTGTCGGGGAGCAATTCCCTCACCGGTAACAAAATCGTCGATGTTGGTCCCCTGTTCTTCCGCTACACGCTGGATGCAGCTACCGATTATCTTCTGGGTCAAGGCACGGACAGTCTCCAGAACCCGACCACTGAATTCAGCGAAGCATTCGGCTATGTGCAGCATCGCCAGGCCGATCTAACAAGACTATCGTACGTACAATCTTCCTGTTATGAGTTGAGATGTAATCCACGAGTCCACAGACGTTCAGCTAAACATAGCGTAAAATAGGATCTTCAAGTTCCTACTATCACTGAAGGAATTCCGCCGCAACCTCAAAATCATGGATAACTTTATCCAACCCTACATCAACCGAGTCCTCTCCCTCTCCACCGCCGAACTAGACCAAAAACTATCCAAACAAGACACATTCCTCGACTCCCTCGCCCGATTCACCCGAGACCCCAGAGTCCTCCGAGACCAACTAGTAGCAATCCTCCTCGCAGGCCGAGACACAACCGCTGGAACGCTCTCCTTCTGTCTCTTCGAACTCGCCCGGAACCCCCAAGTCGTGGCCAAACTACGACAGGAGATTGAGTTGCGACTGGGCGTCGGAGCCAAGGGCCAAAAGCCCAGCTACATCGATCTAAAGGAGATGAAGTACCTCAACGCCGTTCTGAATGAGACGATGCGTCTTTACCCGGTGGTTCCGTTCAATGTCCGTCTCGCGCTCCGTGATACTACCTTGCCCCGTGGGGGAGGTCCAGATGGCCTTTCGCCGATTGGGGTCCGTGCTGATACTCGCGTGGTGTATTCGACTATGCTTATGCAGCGCAATCCGGAGAATTATGATGCTCCTGGCTCGCCTAACTATATCGATCCCGAGACGTTTCATCCCGAGCGCTGGTTGTCTAGTTGGCAACCTAAGCCGTGGCGGTTTATTCCCTTCAATGGGGGACCGAGGATTTGTCTTGGTCAGCAGTTTGCTACTATCGAGATGGGGTATACAGTTGTAAGAATTCTTCAGGCCTTCCGGGAGATTAAGGCCTTCCCCGTCAGTGGCAAGAGTGTCGTGGAGGATCCTGTTCTTCGGTTTGAAGTCACGTTGAGTCCTGGATCAGAGTTGAATTGTCTATTTGTGCCAGATAAAGAAGCGAGCCCGGCTAATTGAGCTTAGTTTGGTACTACATACTGGTAGAACGACTGGTGAAAGGTGGAGGAGCTTTCTCAACAGCCCGGTATAATTGTAATGGGTGTCAACAGGTTATTATTCGGGTATATAAATTGCTAAAGAGCATGCCGTATATAGCTTCTGTTTCATAACTTCATTACATGCTATGTGAATTTGACATCGTGAAGTACCAAGAGTCTGCCTCCCAAATCCTGAAGTGTACATTTTGGTACAGTAGGAATGTGCTTGTGTTAACGAACAAGCTGAGCCCAGTTATGGCTCTCAGGCTGATAAAAGGGTTACCTTGAGCTTCGTGAGTTTCTTCAGCCTCTGCAGAATCTCGACTCTCCGGAGTTCCAGATACAAATAGTCCTCATCGGCATCGTCCAGATCACTGGAGATACTGATCAACGGTCTCTTCGCCGGAAGAATGCTGCCGTTGACCTTCGCTGGGACCATCTGGGTACTAGTATTCTCACTGTTCTGAACAGCAACGGGAGCATCTTTCTTGGTCTCCGGAACAGCAGGTGGCACCTTGTTGCCAACCCAACCCCTGCTCATGTTTACGGCCTTTTCCCAGAGGGCAAATGACTCGGCACTTTGCTGACGGCTAATCTTAGGCTCAAACACCGCTCCACCAGTACGGTTGATATCGCGCAATTCGGCAAAGTTTCGCCAAAGCCCAACTGCCAGACCGGCGGCAATGGCCGCACCTAGTGCGGTTGTCTCTCGCATCTTAGGGCGATAGACCGGAATGGAGATCAGGTCTGCCTGAGTCTGATTGTGAAAGTGTAAGTTACCAAGGAAAGCAATAATCCAAGGAAGGTATCGACTTTAGGACGGGAACTTTGGATGTTAGTGATACTAAACGTACCTGCATTGCAAGATCAGAGTTGCTCATTCCTCCGTCAACTGCCAGCTCAGACAGCCCGTGGCCGCTGTCCTTTTCCATCGCGTCCAAAATTGCCTTCGTTTGGAAGCAGGTCGCTTCAAGCGTGGCCCTGGCGATGTGGCCCTTTCTTGTGTACTGTGTAATTCCGACTAAATCCTGTTAGAAGAGGGTTTGAAATGTATTAGGCGATTGTTTCTTACAAATGGTTCCTTTGGCGTCGTCAATCCAGTAAGGTGCAAAGAGACCACTGAACGCAGTAACAAAGACACATCCTCCGTTATCTTCCACCGTGAGGGCCAAATCATTGACTTCTTTGGATTCCTTGAAGAACTCCAAATTGTTCTGCAGGAACTTTACTCCCGAGCCACCAACAGCGATGCTCCCCTCGAGAGCGTACACTGGCTTTCCATCAAAATGATAGGCTACTGTGGCCAATAAGCCGTGCCTGGAAATAACCGGCTTTTCGCCAACATTGTAAAGCAGGAAGCACCCTGTACCATATGTGTTCTTTGCCATTCCTGGTGAGAAACCTTTCTGACCTACCAGTGCCGAGGATTGATCACCGAGACACCCCATGATAGGGACCCCAGCGAGGATTCCATCCGAGATAGCTCCATAGGCTTTCGTATCGGAGGATGGAACGATCTTCGGCAGATGGACTCTTCCTCGAATATCAAAGAAGTCTAAAAGCGAATTGTCGTACTCAAGAGTTTCCAAGTTCATGAACATAGTGCGTGACGCATTGGTAGGGTCTGAAACAAACACATTTGCTTGGTGGCCACCGTTCAGACAATACACAAGCCATGTATCGACTGTACCAAATGCCAGCGTACCTCGCTCATAAGCATCCTTCACCCTGGGGACGTTCGCAAGCATCCATAGCAGCTTAGAGGAGGATGAGTAGGTGGATAACGGAAGGCCACAGACCCGCTGTAATCTTGAAGCCCCTGGTTTCTCCTTTAAGTTTTTGACAATCGCTTGCGATCGAGTGTCCGTCCATACGATTGCATTGCACAATGGCTCGCCAGTTTCATAATCCCAAACGACGGTGGTTTCTCTCTGGTTGGTAAGCCCAACGGCCTTGATATCTTTGCGCGAATGCCCAGTGGATTCAAACTGTTTGACTGCTTGCTCAATGCATGTTTCGACGGAAGATACCAGGTCAAGTGGGTTATGTTCATGCCATCTGAGTCACTCATTAATCACAAAGCAGTTGAATTCATCGAAAGTCCAAACCCTACGAAAAAAGAAAGAAAGAGAGGAACAAAGACGGTGACAATAGAGGAAGCGCTCACCCTGATTTTGGATAGATCTGTGGGAATTCGACCTGATGCGAGGCCACCGGTTCCCCTTCGCGATTGAAGATCAGAAACCTGGTACTGGTCGTACCCTGGTCAATCGAGCCTACAAAGGTCTCTGATGGCTGCATAGCTAGGGCGTCTCGCGACCAGCGGGGTGCCTGAGCTGTGTGACAACCTCGCGCAGCTTTTCCAATGGACTGGTAACAAGAGCAACTAGGATAAGCAGGAAAGCGAGCAAAGACACGAACCCTCTGAAGCAGGAACAGAAACAGCGACCGCGGAGGGTATGCTGTCATATTACTTATATGATTCCAGCGAACCAATGACCGGGATTAATCCTTCGGTTTCAATTTCTCCGTTACATAGTGAATCAACTGCGGGGAACGCGACTTCGATCCAAGGCAACAACTACCAGTAGTGAGAGCGTGACACGATAGTTGGATGGAAAGTGACAAAGACAAGAAAAAGGGACGGGTGGCTGAGCCGAACCGGCACTCAGGTGAATAGTCACAATGTTGCTCATTCGCTGAGGGCCGTACTGAGAGAATGAGAGGATGATGCTGAGAGAACCGCGTTTACAATTTGACCAGTAAACATGGGTCAGGGTCGAAGGGATTCCATACCTTTTCCAGCGAGTCGCATATGCTGAGAGGATTTAGTCGTCTTGGTAGGGAGAAGGCAAAATTGATGGGTGGGCACCTGACCGGACTTTACCTTTTCTGGTCCCAATCGCAAGGGAATTAATTCCGATCCGATGGACTCGGATTTCAATTCCACTGGTCCCTGGGGGTGGTAATATGACTTCCTTGCATTCATGCGCCTGCATCTTGAATGTTGCGATGCTGTCAAACGGTTCGATCAGATCCAAAGGATCATCACTTGCGATCGTCGCGCTTGTGGAGTCCAAGTGATCCACCCCCACAAATTGCGGGGTTCGCTCATACGGACTACTACATCCGATCGTCGATGTACTCAACCCTATCTTGTATCCAGATCCTGGAAATTTTCCAGAATGTTGTGGAGACCAATGCAGATGTCGCGTTCAACCCGGTCATGGTCCTCACAGAGCCGCACGCTTGACCAGACAATAGTATAGACACTCATTCATCCCTCCACAGACGGCAACCCAGTTCCCTGAGCGATTATTACGCCATCTAGTATAAAAACAACCAGAATGCACCAAGACAATAATATCAAAAATAATTGATACTAATCCTACCCTATTTCCGTACCACCAGTGGTGAGCCAGAGCTACAGCGCCAAATCCTTGCTATCTGACGACGCCCAAAGCAGAATGACAAAGTGATACAAGTATTAATAGGCGTTTTCGCTGCATTACCATTCGACAAACAATCTGGGAGCATGATATGTGACCACGCCTAGACTCTTTTGTAATTGGTAGGATTGGTTACGCTTTCCAATTGTGTACCTCTGAATTGTGCTATTAGCCAAGGTCAAGATGTTGAACAGGTACTCCATACTGTGTACAGGTTGTGCCCTGAGTAGGGACGAGGAAATGTTATCCTTTTCCAGATGCCAGGCTTCTTAAAGCCCGTTTCCCTTCACTCTTCCTGTCCAATTTTAGCCATTGAGCAAATATTGGCCCTCTGGGGCTGCTCTTCAACCGGTTGCGTTCTTCATTCCAAGCTGGCTGGATCAGTCTATCCAAGTCTTCTGGATACGGGTGAGAAAGACAGCCGAAGCTATCCGGTGTACATTCACTCATGCCTCTGAGAGTATACAGCAGGGATCAAGCGTATTGGACGCTTGAGGGTATCGGAGGTATTCACATTCCCCATATTAAGGCACTGTCGTCTCCCCCTAGCACCCTAGCACTGAAGAGGTGCTTTTCATGCTCCTTGCAAGAACTTGACATCCCGTTTGTAGAGGGATATTCTTAATTCATTATCGTTAGCATGAAGCAGATTATTGAGCGTACGACTGACCACCAGGATGGCACGCATGTTGCCGTCCTCTCAACTGATAAGCCTGTGTCTCCTACGCTAGGTATCGCCCTCAGCTCAGATGAGAGGGAGCCCGTTCACCCCCAGCTTCTATGGGGTAAGGTGAGAGAACACATCCGCGATGGCGCTTCCGAGTTCTTCGGCACAATGATATTAGTTCTCTTTGGAGACGGCGTTGTCGCACAGGTTACCCTGAGCCACGGCGAGAAAGGCGACTACCAGTCCATCTCATGGGGCTGGGGGTAAGTCCGATCTCCCCAAGCAGCTATCCTTCCCCCAGCACTAACATATCTTGGCCCCCCAACCCCCAGCCTCGGAGTCATGCTCGGCGTCTATGCTAGCGGGATATCAGGCTCACACATCAACCCCGCCGTAACCCTCGCCAGCTGCATCCTGCGCCAATTCCCCTGGCGCAAGTTCCCCGTCTACCTCGTCGCCCAAGTCCTCGGCGCCATGTGCGGCGCAGCAATCGTCTACGGTAACTACAAATCCGCTATCGACGTCTACGAAGGCGGTCCAGGCATCCGAACTGTCCCGGGCTACTCCCCCACCGCAACGGCCGGAATCTTCTGCACCTACCCAGCCGCCTTCATGACCCGAACAGGCCAATTCTTCTCCGAGTTCATCGCCAGCGCCATCCTCATGTTCATGATCTTCGCCCTGAAAGATGACACCAACCTCGGCCCCGGCCCCCTCACACCCCTCGCCCTGTTCTTCGTTGTCTTCGGCATCGGTGCCTGCTTCGGTTGGGAGACCGGATACGCCATAAACCTGGCCCGGGACTTCGGGCCCCGTTTACTAACCTATATGCTCGGATATGGTCCGCAGGTCTGGGCTGCTGGGAATTATTACTTCTGGGTACGTTCTCCTCCCCCTTCGCCCGCCTCGCACATTACCCTAAATGATAATAAAATCACTGAGGGTGTACCTTCGGCGGGTGGATCTACGATCTATTCCTCTATACCGGGGCCGAAACCCCAATCAATACACCCTACGTCGGTCTCCGGAGACTCATCACACCCCTACGTCCAAAGCGCCACAACTCGGGAAGTCATGTATGACCGACTGGGGCCCTGAACAACATATAAGTATGAATCGAAAAAAGCTATGTAACCGGACTATGACAGCTTCGACTCTACCGCAGATATTGCCCCTAACTAAGTTCCATCACAAGACGGACTTCTGATCCTAGAAGTCAGTGCCAGGGTTCTTTACGACTATCCATAGCAACTTATAATGAAATCCGTGGTATTCATGGCTTGGGGCTGTTTGGGGGTGATTCAGTCTTCTGTCTTTCTGTGAGGAAACTTATCGACTAGTGGATATCCTTTCCTACCTCATATTCTTGTAGTAGTCTGTGCCTGTAACTCGACTACCTGAGTAAGGAATTATTTCCTCAAATGGCAACGGTCTTATGACCGGCAGACCCTACACTATGGTTACCACCGTTTCATTCTTGGCTCTCAATATTTACAAGTTAACTTAAGGTTGGTCTAAATCAGGGAATAGTGTGCGCGCCACATCGGCTGACCATGGTCGATACCGGTAGATCGGGTAGCGTCGACCTCTAATAATTTACTCCAATATCGACTCAAGGCTAAGAGAGCTGCTATAGTTGATGGGCTGTGCTTGCATTGACCTTTCTATGCTAATAAAAACCAATGCAGTCCGTATAATACATATTGAACGGTCATTAATCATGGTAACAAAGACACTTGCAAAAATTCAAGGTCCTATGTATGTACAGGTCGAGAACCTTAGTCGTGAGAGTCGTAATCTGATATCCCATTCCCGTCATGAATGGCACCTTCCAAGGCGCCTCGTCTAATTCATACTGCTCGTTCACAGCAGGACCAGCGCACTGGCGACCACCACGTAAAGAGCGACCATGGATAATGGAGCGTCGAACATAGTGGTCGCAGCCCCTACATTAGGCGCAATATGGGCTGTAGTCGTGGAGGCAGGGGCATTCCCAGGACCGTTAGAGTCGCTCGCATCAGTCGTGGTGGGGCCTGTGGAAGTCGATAGTGGCATGGTCAATGTTGAAGAGCTAAATGATCGTGTCGGAGAGATAGTTCGCTGCGTGGAAGTGACGGCTGTATCTGTTGAGGTAATGGTTGTACGCGACGAAGAGAAAGTAGGGTAAGTCGATGTGCTGCCTGGTTGGGCTGGGGAGCTAACTAATTGCGTTTGCGTTGGCGAATTGGTGAGAAGCCCCGTCGAACTGAGAGTCCATGCAGTGCTTCTAGTGCCAGAGAGGGAAACTGAACCCGGCGACAAACGCGATGATACAAATGTAGATAGGTGACAGGACTGTTTTAAAGACACATAGCTTTAGTAACTAATTCAATGTGCGAGAGGGTTTGGGCAATGCTCACTCACTGAAGCCGCGCTGGGCGGCTGGACTTGTCGAGAGCCAGAAAATGTCCAGCCACTTGGCAGAGGACCCTGGCCCCTCGACTCTCCTGGAGTAGCCGTAGTGGCTCGAGGGACCCAAGGCCAGATACTCGGGGTCACAAAACTCGAAGTTTGGCGGTGCGTTCCACTCCATGGGATAGGGATACTAGCGACGGTGGAGGTGATGGCCGGGGCAGATTCGACAGAAGAGATGGACTCAGAGGCAATATTACCATTGATCTTTCCACCGGTTGACTTGATTGACTGCCATGACCCACTCTGATCACCGTACGAGTACTCTGTTCCGGTTGAATAGTCGGTCACCTTGAGTGATTTCAAGTACATCGTGTAGGGGCCAGCATTGTAATCGGTCTTGCCACCCGCCCAGTCTTCAGATCAGTTAGCTTAGAAGAACGTATTGTATGACATTCGGTGAAATATAAACCGTGAACTCACCAATAGTACCCTGCGGGTTGTTTGGATCACCACCAGCCCAAACTCCAACTTTAACCATCATCGGCGTTTGAGGATATTGATTGGTCGCCGCGGTATCCGGAGTCAGTACCCGAACGGTCTTACCATCGATTTGCCAAACGATCTGTTCGCTGGTCCAATCGATAGTGTAGGTATGGAAATTGTCGTGATTTCCCACGTTATCATGGGTAGCGCCACGGTTGAAGCTATCAGTATTTCCCTTTCCGAAGTAGTTAGACTGGACTAAGACATTATTGCCCCCAAGCCACTCCCAATCAATTTCGTCCAAGTCGTCTGACTGTAGGACAGCACTGCTAACGATACCCGTCCCTGGGGCAGCCTTGATCACGAACTCGACATGTCCGAACATGATGTACCAGCCAGACTGTATTAACGGGGCATCGCCCTGTTTGGCCACTGTGAACTCGGCGCCATCGCTACCATATGTGGGACCTCCGACATCTGCAAAGTCATTTGCTTGACCCTGGGTGAAGTCAAAGGTACCCGATGTGCCATATGCAGGTTTGGGGGGGCATGCTTGACTGACGTTAGATTTGGCACCAGGCCGGGCTGAAAGAGGACGTACTTTTGCCTAAAGGGTTGCAGTCGGAAAATGTCTGAGCCAACACAGGTGTTGCAGATGACAGCAGGAGAGCCGCCGCGTTGATTATTGGCACCCTCATGGTGAATGCGTTGTGCTAGAGATGAAACAAACAATAGAAAATGATGCTGAGAACACGCCCGTTGGGAACGTGAGTAAAGGGAGATCAGGATGAGCGACTTTTGCAGGTAAGAAGTCAAGATCTAGGAAGCGGAGATATGAAGGCAGTCGAACAGTAGATTACAGCAACTCCCAAAGAGTGTGTGAGAGAGAGTGCGTCTGGCCAGAAGTCCAGGCCTGCGGCGTTGTTCGTAGGAAATAAGTACCTACAAAGCGCACGTGCAGGAATCCTCTGTTCTGGGAAGGTGCAAGATTGGATATTGTCAAGGCAGCCATGACTGGGGTCGGAACATATAAGTAAATAAATGTCCGTTTAGGTGGAAGAGAAAGTGCGGTGGTCTTCAGAGTACTACGAGTCGTCCAGCCTCCTCGCTTTTCTTCCGCTTGAGCTTTACATCAATCTTTTTGATTATCTTGCCCGATCGGGCAGTTAGCGTTGTCGGTCACAGGTGGAGACGTGATTTCGTGGCTGTCATTGGCTAACATACATGAGCTGTGCCACTGGATCTGTGGCGGGGCGCTCATGATTGGTTGCTGTCCCAACAGCTCCCAAACAAGGGACGAGATATTAATTATCGATGCTTCCATGTTGTGATATCGGTACCTGAACCATGAAATAGCTTTTTGTTTGTTTTTACCTGCAGCAGAGATCGAGGTCAGACCTATAAGCTCAGCAATATCAGACTGATGTTACCAGTCATACTCCATTCTAGGCTGAAGCGCCACACATACCGGTGCTGCAACCCAATCTGCTGTTTACATTCCAGCCGATGACGGTTGCTGTCATGCCATGTGCTACTGTGCAGACAGAACAGGACCAACGACCGGGGGCAATTGCCTCATCTCTCCCTGACAATAACTTGTCTTTTACAATTCATTCGCCACATGGAGTGTAAGATAATAGAGTCGCCTGTTTCATTGCCGCCCGTGCTGCTCCACCCCCAGCCTCCCTCTTTTTAACGCTGCATGTATACTGTACCAATCTCTGGACGCCATGGCTAGACCGCAGTGAGTTTCTTTGCTGTGCTATTCTTATATCAAACTTTGATTCGATGGTCTCTCTTCTCCTATTTTCTTTCTTTTTCTTTATTTTTCTTTTTTCTTTTTTTTTTTTTTTTTTTTTTTTTGTTTTTCTTTTCCGTGTTTATTTGTTTCCGGGTCGATACAGTTTCAACTACAACCTCGCTTAAGCAGCCTATTCAATATATTTCCATAGTAACGGCGAGTCTATAATAGTTAAGAATATCTATAATTTCGGCAATCCAGACAATAATCTGTCAATCTCCATTCAACATCCGATACATACTAAATCAAAATCTAAACCATCCATAACACTCAATCGGGCTCATTCCTATTACATACACAACCACACGACGTTCATGTTTCGTAATAGCAATTTAGGTATATTCCGTACAGAGGTTTCAGGCAAATTCCGCAACTACAACTATCAGTACGCCTTTTCGTTTTATCCCATCCGAAATGAATTCCGCTGCAGACCTCATGAAATATTAATATATCCACATGACACAATCGTAGTAACAATGTGTAGTGCCTACAGCTGACGGGTAAAACTGGTGGGGCTGGAGGGATAAATTCGCGCCTTATGAAAATTGTTGGGCTACAATCTCTGTAGGTAAGTTAATGACTAGGATAGTAAGACGGATAGTAGAACTCCTCTCTCAGAGCTGGTAGAGGTGTGAGTTGGTGGAATCCTGTTGCTGAGCATGGTAACATGTTCCTGTTATCAGAAGGTGCGGCCGATAGAAATTCGTTTGAGTATACCAGTTAGACTTCAGGGATATTGAGGGTTGACATCTTGGGCACACGACTCTTAGCCTTCACATATTAATATAGAGAATAAATACTTAGTAGAGTATTCACGGCTTATTGTTACTGAAACTAGTTACTGTAGCCGGTATAAGCTGTAAAGCATCAAGAATGCATCTATAAGTATGTTGCATTCACTGTATGCTGACCATCTGCATAAGAGATACGGACTACTACTGTTGGAAGCTTTTCGAAAGCGTGTTTGAAATCTGTGCATAGGAATGCCGCCAAGTGCAATATATATTTGCAGTTGCAACAAACTTACGGGAGCTCGATGCCTCTGACAGCCTGAGGGTTTAATGTGACAGTGAAATGCTCTTAACACACCGATAAAAGCAGTTGCTAATAGTCAAGCTATAGATTCTCCTAACAGAAGAAAATAGACCAAGTGAGAACTCGTATCAAACTCTTAGTAAAGGAGACGTAGACAAGTCATTCAATCCTGTTGGGGTTCAAGCCGCCAAGAACCTGACCAGTTCGGGAAGTCGCTCTGCTCTTCCAGGTCGATAGTTTAAGGTGCCAAGAGATGCTACTTGTCGATCGTATGTCCCACGTGATCTTTATATTAGCAGGTACCTTTGATAAGAGTTAAAGTAAAATAGAATTGTCAAGACATAGAATTTAACAAGTCCGTAGCATGTGAGGACGTCAAGATGGTATCTATGAAGTTCAATCTGAATGAACACTCGTGCGTATAGAGAGTGCCGCAAGCCCGACAACAGATTGAGAGAAAGCAAGCATGACGTACCGAACCGATGGTTTTGTTACAATAGATAACGTGCCCGAGTAGTTTCAATGGCCTCTAACGTGAGTGTAGACGAGGTAGGCGGCAAATTCCTCCCATAGGCGGCAGTGGTTGTCAAGATTCTAAAAGGGGATACTGTAACTAATTATAAAATGACCTCGGCTGATATCGATATTGTACTTTGAGAGAAGGGGGACACGTCATGAATAGGTCAGGCGGAAAACTTAGGGAGGTGAGAGTTAAAAAAAATACCGCCCATTTCTAGTAATTCCGTGTCTGACATATCTGGAAATTGAAACACGAGGTTTGGGGGAGATAGACAGTCCCTTTAATTTCCGATACAGTCATTGGTCATGTGGTACATTTTTCTGATTTTCCGTCTTTAGTCTAGAATATAAAAAGGATAGTACGGTCCAATCGCGCAGTTGTCATTCAAGATTCACCAGGCGACTTCATCATACAGGCGAATAGGAGAAGCAGATAAGAAAAAGAAATAAGGTAAGAAGAGTGGGGGTTGGGTTAGAAGAGTGGGGGTTGGGTTGGAAGAGAGAGAAAGAGCAAAGGCAAGATAGGTTGGTGTCATAGTTCAGAGGTAAGGGGAAACAGAATGGATTAACTTCCCCCTTATCAATAATTTAAACCACTAATTCTAGCCCACCTGATGATCATCCCCAGAACTGCCAATATAAAGCGGTTGGTTACCCATCATAGCTGCCTTGTGGATATACGTGAATTGCTGAATTGGTCAGTGACAGAAGCCAAAGAAATGCAAACTAATAAATTGAAACCGTGGGTAGAAAATTTCCAAGACCAATAGTAGTAGTGCTGCTACTAACAGCTGAACTGGTTGTTGATCGATGATGACAGGGAAGGGCACCACAGATGCTCAGGGTACGGAGTAAGGACGGATGTACCCGATACCGTACACCGATGTATAGTTTTCAGTCACGTCACCATTCCAACTGACAGAACATTAGCTGCAACTGTACTCTGTACTATTAAACTTTACTATCTCAGTACAGTACAAATGAAATACAGATGATACACCTGAATAGGACGTATCAAAGGAGGTACCGAAACAGAGCTCCTTTCCCCAATAAGGTGACCCGTAGGCAACATGAGGGTGAGGTTCATTCTTTGTATAGATGCGTACCAAACGGTCATCACCTGCATGCCTCCTCGATCTCTCTACTATCTAATCGCACCAGGATCAGCACAGACATTCTCACGGACCATACCTTCTACATCCACCCCCCTCGTAAAATGACCAAAGCGGGATGACGGAACTCAATCTTCCTGAAAATTGATATATCATAGTTTTGTTCTGTTGATTTTAATTTAACCTTTGATTGATTTATGATATGATGATTTATTTATTTATTTATTCTTCGCTTTGTTGACAATGAAGATAAAAAAGAACGATACAACTTTTAATGTAGGTATAAATTCGAAAGTGAAGACCATGTAACACCAGCCGAGAAGGGTGAAAAATATCCCGCAAGTTGAGTAAATGACTTTGGGGGAGGGTAAGGTGGTATTCTCTGGCAGAAAGGTAGTTAGTAACTTACTCCGGAGTATAGCAGTCACTTTCTCCGGTTTAGCGCCGTCTTGTGGTCAGAGCCTCAACGACGTAGCGTACTCCGTAGTCACCACCACGACCATTAATACTACTAACCTACGACCATACTATCACCACCGTTTCCCGTTGATTACGAAATTCTCGCCCACTCTTTCTACCTGCAAACCTCCTTACATGTCGCATATTCTCTTCTAATTCCTTCGTCTGTGCTTCGTATCATGCGTTTTTGGGTTGCTCTCCCAGAATGTGCGATGGCGATTCTTGACTACTACCGCTCGTCTCCCAGAGCATGAAGCACCCGCCGCGCCCGACGCTAAAACTCCGTGCAACAACGGTCGCTTTTTCAGTGATATAGTGATAGCCTTTCTCGAATTACGTTCCTCCCTTTGTACCTGAATCAACATTCCTCTGCTTCGCTTCCATTGATATAGCTTTACACTGCCGCTACATAAGCTCACTATCCTCCCTACACTTTGCCAGTCAACCGCCTTCTTTCGGATCAACTCGCGCTATATCGCACGACGTTCTACGATAGTCCCTTTCCGTTACTTCTCGCCCATATCCCCCCTCCGGTGACAATTATTGATGGTGCTCCTCCTCGTTTGACGTTGCGATTACTGCGCCGACCGGCCACTTCTTTCCCGACGGCCCCGGAATATTTGGGATACTTTGAAACATGTCTTTCCAGGGTGGCGACCTCCCGGAAGGGAGGCGTAGTTCGGAGAGCTCTGGAGGGAACAGTTGGCTGTCTCAGGAGACAGTCAAAGATAACCAAACCAATCGGTACCAGCGAAATCATGCTATGTTGAAT